ATTCCTCCCCCTCCCATCCCCCGCTCCCCCCCTCCCGCCTCGCCGCGGTTGTTATTTTCTCTTGGATCCAATAAATTAAAAATTGATGGCAGCTCAGAATGTGCTGTGCTCCACGGAGTGCGCGTGCTGGTTGCGTTTCCGAGTGGTCGCCTGGAGTCCGGGCCCCTCCCTGAAGGTTCCCGGGAGGGACAGAAGCGGCCCCTCCACAGATACTCATTTGGAAATGGGCGCGGGTCTCAGGGCACAGGTGTGGAGGCTCCAGTCTGGTGCCGAGCTGGCTGGGTGGATGCTGCACAGTCCTTGTAAACACGGGTCCCTATCAGGGTGGTGGCGGTGACGTGGGTGGCACAGGATTTTAAGATCCTTGCACCCCTCCCCATGTTTTTTGGGAGAGCCTTCAATGTACAATGCATGAAGACAAAATATGTTCTCTATAATTTTACAATCTTATCAAGAAGACAAAAAACGCCCCCCCCGCCCCATTCCTGAGACAGTAATTCTGTGTATGTTCCTCCCGGATTGTGGCTTAGCCATGGAAGACAGAGGGTTGGGTTTGAATCACTGCAGGGTGAGGGGCACGCAGCCCAGTGCTGCGTGTGCAGCGATGCTCCTGGGACCCCAGGCGCCCGCCTCTCCCTCTCGGCTGGAATTCCCGGGAGGGCAGGTGCAGGGGCAGTTGTTAGAGACCCACCCTGTGAGCAGGGGAGCCCAGGGGATCCTGTGTGTGGGGGGATCACCGGCCAGGTAAGGCCCAGCTAAGCCCGAGCAGCCGCTGGGGGCCTGTAGGCGGCCTGGCTGGGCCCGAGTTAACCGTGTCTCTCCCTTTCCGTCTGCTGCCCAAATTCCTTCGCAGCCCAGCTGAGGCGCGGGAGAGTTTGTCTTAGGATCAAGTGCTTCCCCCGTGCACTTAATGTCCATTATTATTTGTGAATCCTGACTTCATTGCTTCTAAATGCATTCACCAGCTGGGAGGAGGCCCTGGCTTGTAAATAAAATGTGGTTTTGTTGTAAAAGAGGGTGAACGTGCTTTGTGTGTGTCTGTAAATATGTACTGTTTGGCTGTGCTCTTCAGGATTTAACCTTTCGGGACCCACCCCAGGCCTTTGGGACAGCGCCCTGGGCATCCATTCCTGTCTCCTCTTAACGAATCAGACCGTGTAGCAATCTCTCTACCTTATTCGGCCCACAACAGTGAGAACAGCAATGTTTTCCAGGGCTGCCCGACTCGGGAAGCTTCCCAGCACAGCACACAGCCCCCCGGAGGGCACATCTCTGCTTTCACGGGGGCCCAGGTTGGCCGGGCAAGGCAGGGGCTGGTCTGCAGGGCCCCGGTATTCAAAAAGCTGCCTTGGTTTGACGGTGTCTTTTATCTTTCCTGGTGCTTTCTCGTCTCTGGGTGGCAGTTGGGACCGCTCTGCCTGGCAGGCACAGGCTGGTTCTCCGAGGCGGTGCCGAGCTGTGCGGCTGGGCGCCCACCGGACAGAGGAAGCAGGGCTCCGAGGGCCCAGGCGCGGCCCCGCTTGGCCCTTCTCTAAGCCTGGCCAGGCGCCTCTCTCTCCTTTTATTTCTCCCATCGGTGATGCAGTTCTGAGAAGGGACGCACACATGCGCTCCGCACACCTAGCTTGGTATCCGCCTGCCAGCGGAAATGAAACCACAGCCTGACGTTGGGGTGTCTCCCAAGGCCTTGGGTGTGAAGTTTTCAGGCTGAGGAGGCCGTCTTGGTCTACCCGCTCTGACCCAAACATTCAGCAGTTTGGGGGGGCCATTGCCACGGTCCTGGGAAGTGTCTCCTGCGGCAGGCCCCACGCCCCAGGAGGCGGGGAGAGGAAGCCCCATGGTTGGGCGGGGTGAATGCTCTCTTCACTTGGAGTTTTACTTTCAACACTGGAAGTGGGGGGAGGGAGGCTTTCAGGTGGTGGGTGATTCCTGGCCTCCTGGCCTCCCCTGGAGGCACTGAGCTGGACCCCGGGTCAGGAGGTGGGCATGGAGCTCAGAGCTGTCTGTGGCTTGCCAGTGGGCCCGGCTGCCCGGGTGGGTTGGCTGTGAGGGGACTGGAGGCGGAACCTTGAACTGCCGCGCAGCGAATGGAGTGGGAGACTTTCAAACTCAGTGACTGGGGCTCGCGGGGCTGGCACAGGAGGAAGAGGAAGGCAGAGAGACCGCTCAGTCCAGGAAGGCTTACAGATGTTACAAAAAACCCCCCAAAAAGCGGGGGCAGGGAGGACAAGGAAGACAGAACCGGTGCACAGACGGGAGGGAGAGGGCAGCATGCTTGCAAACAGCGCATGCGACCCTTGCTAATTTTTAAATGAGCCCGTGTTTCTTTCAAATTACAACAGGATTTGAAATTACATAGCTTCCCCGTCCTCCCCGCCCCCCCGCCCCAGCAGAGAGAGCGGTGTGATTCCTAGAACTGCACAGGGGAGCCAGGGACCAGGCTGAAAAAGTTCATGAACGCAAAGCCCACAGCAAGGAAGGGAAAGCAGAGGTGGCATGGACAGCAGGAGGTCCCCCTGGCCCCCTGGCGATGCTGGGGAAGGCGCACCGGCCTCCTTCGTCCTTGCTCACGGTTATCACATGGCCTGAGTGACAGGCCAGCACGCCCGACCGCCTGGGCAGGCCCGCCTCTCGCCAGGGGACAGGGGCCGCCCACCCTGCCCACCACGAACTCACCTGTTTCATTTGCATCTCAATTTCATTTTGTCCTCCCCCCCCCCTTTCGGATCATTTCCTTTGTGCCTCTCTCTCTCTTTTAACAAAACAATATTTTGACACCCTCCTCCCATGTATGAGAGTCCTTCTCTAGACATGGCGCAGAGTCCACCCTGATATTTCTAAAGAGCTGTTTTCACAGCCCTCTCCTTTGGCTCTGAAATTATGTATATGTAATTGGTAATTAAAGGTGTGAGCTTTTCAATACAAACAGTATTGCTCAATGTTAGATCATTAAAGGGAAAAGAGGCTCCGAATAATTACCTTTTTCCGTCCCGACGAACGGTTCACGGGAACCCAGGCACCCCCCCCGCCGCCCCCCGGAACCGCATGGGGTGGGAGGGTGGCGAGTCCATTTTCACCGGAGCAAGGCATCTTTTCATAAGACCAATTGGTAAATTAATTACATAGCATTGCCTTCCAACTCCTTTCCGAGTCGCCTCCCTTTTCTTCTTTAAAGCGTGATGAACGGTTTCTGGGGCGGGCGTTGTGAAAGGTGCCTCTCGAACCTTCCAGGGCCTTTCTGTTGGAGGGAAGCAGGCGCTGGTTTAGGATCTCCGCACCTGCGGGGTGTTTCTGTGGGGCCACGTTTCGAATGCGTGTCTACGTTCAGTTCACGGGAGGCTCAGTCTGCTTTCCGAGAACCCCAGGCAGGATCTCAGACGCCCACCTCCCTGCTCAGCGGGACCTCCTCGGGGACCCACACACGCATGTTTCATACGTGTTCCGTGCCGTGTTCCCACGACCGTGGACTCAGTCCTGCACGCGGACGCGCACAGGCCCCGAAAGAAGCCCGCGTTCGGAAAACACAGAGCCGTGATTTACGTATAGGATGAGAGATGCCACAGGATTTTCCCCTGAAATTATCTGTTCTTTGGCTCGGGCCCGCCGATCGCTTCACAGCCACGGAATGTGTTTTCTCCCTTCCCTTCCTTCCCTCTGTGCTCCTGCGGTTTTCCTGATCCTTCCTAACTGGCTCACAGCTTAACATGTACCCTCCCCCTCCCCCCGGGGTGTCCCACCTCTGAGGACCCCGACACTGTGCCATCTTCCCGACCACTGCCATTGGCTCTCAAAAAATCTCTTCCTCGAATCCACTCCGACCCGGAGGGAGGGCGCAGCTCCCTGTCCACGTCCCTGATTTATGACACCTTTTCTGCTGCCGAGTCTCCCAGTGCCCCCGAGGGGGTTGCTGCTTTCTGAGGTATTTATTGGTTTCAAAATACTTGTGTGCTATGCCCCTTACAAAAAAATAAATAAAAATACGGAAGTGTATCAGCTGCTAGAGAAATGGGAAAATGTACGAAACCCATTGAAAGTGTGGTTTGTCATCTGCTAAGAAATGCCTCTGGAATCTGAAGGATTTTTCCCCCTTTTCCTTTTCTGGGAGCGAGAGTGACACCAACAGGTACCGGGGTCAGGGGCGGCTGGGAAACCTACAGAGCGACGGTCTGACCCGTGCCGGGTCTGGGGATGGCCCGCTGCCCCTGGGCCGCAGCCCCGCAGCCCCGCAGGGCCCCTTCCCTTCCCGGCCTCGCTCCTCCTTTTGATATTTCTCTTGGAACTGACACTCACTTGTTGCTGGGCACGTGGGCTCCTTGCTCTCAGCAGGCCTGGGCCTCTGACGGCCGCCTGCGTTTCTGTCTTCTCGTCTGGTGTGCCGCCAGGTCTCAGGTAGAGGAATGCAAGTCGGACTCGCATGAATGGGGAAGCCATGAATGAGAGGTGGAGGGGGGCGGCAGGGAGAGCCCCCGCCGGGCCAGAGGGCTCTGGGTCGTGGCTCTCAGCCTTGGCTGCCCGTCGGCATCCCCTGGGAGCTTCAACCACAGCCCCCACCGGGCGTTTGGCTCCCAGGGTCCTTGGCCCGGGCGTGGAAGGTTTTCCAAGATCCCCGGGTGACTCTCAGATGTTGCAGATTTCGAGGGACATGCGCCCCATCTGGGATGGCTGAATCGCTTGTGAAACCAGCATGTGTGTTCGGACGCTGTGGGGTGGGGGTGGGGGTTGGCAGAGAATCCACTAGGAAGCAGTGAGGTCAGCCCGGCTTCAGCCACAAGCTCAGGGAGCTGTTGCTCCCGGATCCTCGGTTTGCCCATCTGTCGCCCACCTTCGGGATGGCGCACCCCTGCCTCCGGGAGTCCAGGGGAGGACGTGGTGAGCTCTGGCGTCCCGCAGCGGAGGGGGGCCTGCCTGCAGGCGGGGATGGGTTGGAATGCAGGCTGGGTGCTTGTGACTGCCTAAGCCCATCTCTGTCTTCTCTGCCCCCCTCTCCTTTCTCTCTGCAGCGGAGGCTGACCATGTGGAGGCTGCCATTCTTGAAGAAGACGAGGGTCTGGACATAGAGGAGCCCAGCGGCCTGGGGCTGTTGGTGGGTGGCCCCGACCCTGACCTGCTCACCTGTGGACAGTGTCAGATGAATTTCCCCCTGGGGGACATCCTGGTTTTTATAGAGCACAAGAAGAAGCAGTGTGGCAGCAGCCTGGGCACCTGCTATGACAAAGGCCTGGACAAGGGCAGCCCGCCGCCCTCCTCACGCTCCGAGCTCAGGAAAGTGTCCGAGCCGGTGGAGATCGGGATCCAAGTCACCCCCGATGAAGATGACCACCTGCTCTCGCCCACGAAAGGCATTTGCCCCAAGCAGGAGAACATGGCAGGTATGGCACGTCGCACTCGCCCGGCCGCTGCACCAGCCGACCCCCGTGTCCCATGCCCACCTTCACCCCTGGCTGTGTCGGGTGCCGGGGCCGGGATGGCCTGGGAGCTGTCCAGGATGGCCTCGGGGCCACCCGCTGGGCTCGCCCTTTCCGAAGGCCCACCGTCCAGGGGACGCTCAGGAGGAGACGGGCCCAGGGTTCAGGGCGGCCCGACTGGCTGGTGGTGGCTTTGCTTTTGACAAGGGGGCGCGGCACAGGTATGGCCTAGTGCACAGGTGGCCAGGAGTGCAGAACGGGAGCCTGGAAGTCTGGCTGGCCCTCACAGTGCAGTGGTTCATAGCTCCGTCTCTGGCTTTGGAGCCCTAGCCTTGGGTTGGAATCTGTGCTTCACAGCTTGGCCTGATCCGAGTACGCATCTGTGAAATGGAGCCTGTGACACCTCTTTCCTTAGTGTTGTTGTGAGCTGGGGGGACTGTGTGGGGGTGGTCCCTGGAGGGCACTTATGACTGGGGTCGCCCCTTTTCTCCCCCTCCTCTCTCTGGCCTCCGTTTCCCATTTGTGCAAAGAGGCTCCTTCTGCCACGGCTTTGTCCCCGTGGGTAGGTCTGGGAAGGGCTTGTGGGCACTTGCTGGAGCATGGTGCCCCTCGGGGAGGTTGGGCATGTCCTTTGGTCCGCCGACTGAGCTGGCCACCTGGACCCCTGGTTCTTTCCGCCTGAACAGCAGGTATGGGGCTTGTGGTCTCTGGCCAGTCTGCTCATCACATGGTTTTGCATGAGTCCCTCTCTCCAGGCCCTGGCATGGCCTGCCAGATCCTCTTTCATGGGGCCCAGGCTCTGTGCAAACCAGAGTGCTTGCTGTGGCTCATCCTTCTGAGCCCAGGAGACCTCGGGGACAAAGGAGGGCTCTGGCCGGCCCGTGTCCCCGAGAGCGGCAGCCTGTCCCATAGCCATATGGCATCAGATTGGGTGCAGATGAGGGTTTGAATCCTGATGGTTGGCTTTGGACAAGTCGCTCCTGAGCCCCTGCCTCAGTTTCCCCATCGGTCAGCAGGAGTGATGACACTGGCAAGCCTGCATGAGGATTACGCGAGCAGCGGCTCCGTGAATGCTTTGCCAGTGGAAGTTTTCTTTGGGGCGGTCCCCTCTGTGCTGTGGTGTGCAAGGAGGTGTGGGTGGCCGGCTGGGAAAATGTGTGGATCTGTCTCCACCATGTTTTGGTCATGGAAGCTAGTGGGGAGGTTGGAGGCTTTGGTGCCCCTTGGAGGGTGAGCCAGGTAAGCCCACAGGTGAGCCCACAGGGGAGATGGATGGGTGTGTGTGCAGAGATCCCCCCTGCCACCAGGAGGCAGTGGGTACGGTAATACAGCAAGCCCAGCTTCTCTGTAGCAGCCATGTGATTGTGGGCCTCACTTTGCCCATCTGTAAAATGGGATCAGTGAGCTAGATCTCTCCTGCAGAGAGACTGTGGTGGTCTATGCTGGGGACACTGGCCTGTGGGCCTTGCTTTCTGGTGGGTGTGTGTCCCAGCACATGAGCTCCCACACTCCTACGGCACCAAGGGCGCTGAGAAAAATGTCCCAGGCCAGTCATGGAGACCCTAGCTTTTGAGTTCCGTGCAGATCTGAGTGGTGCTTCCTGCGTTGAGTCTGAGAACAGTGCTGGGTCCCTTTGTCTGTACCGTTGAGGTCCCCACCCTTTCTTTTCTTAATCGGATGTGCGAAGATTGTTCTCCCCAGCGGTACAAGCGCGCGCCGGACGGTGCCCACCGACCCCCGGGGGGCTCCGCAGGGGGCCGGCTTCCTGCTTTTCCCAGAAGCCCTCTGAGTCCGCATTTCAGGTGACAGGTGCTTCCCAGGGAGAGGCTGCCGACCACGGAGGGTATGTGTGTTTAAGAAAGCGACTCAATATGATTTCATAAAAGGCCACACTAATCTCCAAGGCACTGCGTCTCCCCCCCTCACCCCTCCCCCGGCTTTGGTTATAGGTGGTAATACAGCAGCAGCCTCCAGTATTTTTGCTTTATGTGACCAAAGGTATTCTCGGCCTTTTCTGTTCAGCGACAGGACGAATGGCTTTCTCCATTCCTGAAGAAACATGTGAAACAATCCCTTAGAAGGCTAAAGAGATGTGTCTGTTCAGAGCATTTAAAGGGGTATTTTAATCAAGGGCACCAAACAGTCTCCGTGCCCTGCCAGCCGGAGACGGCCGTCTGTTCGACAGCCCATCATGCTCTTCTCTCTCTTGTCCCCCCATTTTCCCCTTTTCCTTTCCTATTTTGGCACCAACTTCTTTTATTATTATTATTATTATTTAATAAAAAGGGAAGATTAGAGAATAAAACTTCAGGGGCTCAAATGTATAAAGTAATTTAATATGGTGGGAGCATTAATTATTTTAGCGTAATTGAATTCTGAGGACTGCAGCGGTTGCATTTCTGTCGACAAGCCCTGTTTATTATTTCTCTGTGTAGATTAACAGTAAAGGAAACACAGATAACTTTCAGTTATTTATTGTAAAATAAATGTGTCAATTCATGTGTAAAGCAAGCTGCTCAAAGATAATTGAGCCTTTATATTTTAAGAGAGGGGCCCGGAGCCACAGGCGCTGCTCCCCCCGGCTCCCGGAACCCCGCCCAGCTGCTGCCCCTGCCACTGGCTCCGTTGGTCGCGCCCAGGCCTCTCCGGTGGCTGTTCATTCTTAGGGCCTCGCCTCTGGTTTGGTGTCCGAGGTGAGGTGCTCGCGGTGGCCAGGGGCACGGTGACCTTCCTGGGAGGCAGTCTGCGTGTTGTCCCCCTCGCTGCCAGGTGCTTCCGGAAGGTGTGATCCGGAAATGGATGGGCAGGGCTGGCTTGTAACTATTCGGGGTCCCTTCCACTCCTGGGGGCATCCCCAGTTAGAAATACATTGGGATTCTGTCAGTCATCGCACCAGGGCGGGATTTGGGATCACCCTTTCTTGGACAGTAATTTTGGGGATGGGTAGGAAAGGATTCGTTACTCTTCCTTTTTATTATTATTATTATTTTTTGAATGGTAGAGAAATAGGAGAATGGAAGGAGGAAGTTTCTGAAACTTTGTCTCTTGAGGGCATTCATTCATTCAAACATCCATCCAACCGTTCATTCATTCAGTAGCTGAGCGCCTACTGCCCTTCCCCCCGGTGGCGGAGTCCTAGGGGCCCGGAGCGTGTGGGAGGATGGCCGTCAGGGCTGCTGCTCTCTCCCGCATGGGGAACGTGGCCAGAGTGTGGGCGGGTAGGGTCCCTGCCCTTGATGTGTGGGGCTACCGGCCCAGGCCCTGCTCCCTGAGCGTCCACTCTGGGCGAGGAGGTCCATGGTGCGTGTGTCCCATCTGGGGACAGAGAGGTGAAGCTGGTTACGGTGAGGACCTTGGCTTAGAGGTCCGAGTCGGAGGAAGGCCTCTGATGCCAGTAGCCGCCAGCCGATGGAGGAGTTCTTCCCTTTCTTAGGATCCCTTCCTGCGGCCTCTCCCTGCCTCTCTGAGGTTTCTGATGGAGCCTGGGGCGCATCCGTCAAGGGGAGATGAGACCCTGGGAGGGGCCAGAAGGAGGTTCCCGGGTTTGCACAGAGCAGGGGTCCCTGAGCTGCTGTCTGGGGAGGGCGTTTTGAGGAGGAGTGAGGAGAAAGGGAGCTTAAGGGGCCGTGGGGCTTGTGGCCTGCTGCCTGGAAAAGCACCCAGGCCAGATGTGTGCCACCCGGCTGCCTACTGGCCTCGCTAAGCTGCAGTGCCCACATCTGGGGACATACCTGACAGTAATGGTGACTCTAAGTGACATGTGCTACACATGTGAGCACCCTCCCCTTGCCCCAGCCCCATCGTTTCCTGGGGTTCTGAGAATCCCGCCATCAGAAACAACTTCAGAACCACTGTGGTGCTGTCGTATGTGTCCCCACCCTGCCGGCCCCCATCCTGTTCCCACTGCTGTCCTGGGGCGATGCGCTCACGGTGTGCTGCCCTGGGAGGGTCTCGGGGGTCGAAGGGGCCAGGGCTCGCTTGGGCATTGGCTGGACCCAGGAAAGTCAAGTCACTTTTCTGGGCCTCAGTTTCTGCATCTGCACCTACTTCCCAGCACACGTCCAGCTGGCGGTAGACGACGGAAAAGGGGGGACTTTGAAAAAGCCACGCTCGGGAGGGCATGGACCCTGCTTGGTGCACGAGGTGTTTGCTCTCCTCAGTGGACATCTTGGAAGTGTGCCGTGGCTCTCTCAGCCACGTCCTCGCCATCCCTCCCTAGAATTCCCATCTCACAGCCACGGGAGGGGCGGCTCTTGATCACAGGTAACGGGTTCTTGCGTGCTCTCCCCTCTTCCACAGCCAAATGAAGCTATAACGGGAGGAATGAGCCGTCAGCCGTCACTCAGAGCTGTGCCCTTGCCTTCTCTTCCTCCTCCCCCCAGACCCCAAATGTCAGGTTTCTGGAGACAGGCAGGAGACAGGCAGCGGGTGACAGGAGGTGGCAGGTCCCCCTGGGCTGGAGGTGGCAGGCAGTTCCCTGCCGCCCACAAGTCTTCACCCAGAACCCCGAAGGCCAGGGTGGGCCTGGGGGGAGGGCGGTGCAGGCAGCAGGCAGGGCGTGGACAGGGGGTTCGGTTTGGAGTCCTGGTGACCCATTGCAGGACAAAATGCATTGGGGAAAAAGGGCGCCTCATCAGCTGGAGGATTTTCATGCTGCTCTGAGACTTCGTTTAAGACTTTTAAAAATAAATAAAACAAGTGCGGGGGGAAAAAAAATTAGCTTGGCCCGTGGCAGACGAAATAACTTGCTTGTGCTGGAAACTCGAGATAAACTCACTTGCAGGTTGTCTTGAAAAACTTGCATTTGATATATTTCGAGTTGTTATTTTCCCTCCAAATTAAGATTGGTTAAATCCATGTGTGTTGTGGCATGGATTATCTTTTTCTATTATTAAATCGTGACAGCTAATTATTAGCTCTGTCTACACCAAGGAAGAGGGGAGTGCTCTGTCAGAGGGATGTGG